ATTGGTAAATGGGGACTTATGCATATTTCAAACAACTGGTCAGAGGTGCAAAAATAATGTATACAATACAATATGGTACATATACATTGTCAGGCGATTTCCTGCACACCGCATATTAATTCTTCAAAGTACTAATTTACTAATCTATATTTATTTGCTAGAAGACAACAAAGAAAAATTAAAAAAAAAAAAAACACTCACAAAGCACTGTTACAACACACTTTGAAAAATTACTCACTTTGAAAAATTTTTTCAAAGTGTGTTAGATTTGGGACCAAATCAATGCACTTTGAAAAAATATTTTTTTTGAAAGTGCGTTAATATCGACCATATTGACGCACTTTGAAAAAATGTGTATGGATTGGTAAATATCCTTGAAAATCTAAGGTATGATAAATAATTGAACATGTTTAATAACTCATCTGTGATGAGGTCACTTTAGGATGTGAAAGTGAGCGATTTTGATTTTTCCATACTATGAAAACTCTTCCTCTCTTAAATGTTTTACTGTTCTTAATTTTTTTCCAGTTTGCATGCATTTTATGTAAACTTAAATTTATTGAAAGTTTTCAACGTCATACCAGTTATGTAAATACATATATTTAGGTTTATCATAGACATCGGTACCGGGAAGGGTGGTGGGTTACATGTAGGCACACAAATGTTTTGCAAAGATATACATAATATATGTAAGCATTGAAAATTGGGTCTCACCTAGGGGTTTCAACTTTCAATTCGCTACCGACGGCTATGTGCAAAATTTATGAAAAAAGAGTTGGGATGAGAGACCTTCTACTCGTCTTCTCCTTGTTCTTAATGAGGTTAAATGAGTACATGTAAATTTAGAAAACAAGGGGTTTTCGAAAGATGTAATTATTACAAATTAATTCTCTAAATTGCTAAAATCTGAGTCTATAATTTTTGTTTTATACATATTTTTTTTTCAAAGTGCGTTAAATCTCCGGACGGTAAAAAAAAGTTTATGTACACTTTTAACGTACTTTGAAACAATTTTTGGGAGTTGAACTATGTTCAATCTCCCTTGGTCACCACGGATTTTAACATGCGCAGTAATTTGTGTTGATTATATAGAGCCCAAAGCGAGGCTTCTGTGTCGGCCGATTTACTCCGATAATATTCAACAGAAAACATGCATAAATATCTTCCACAAATAGTTCATGTCATTTTCTCCTGAATAGATATTATTTTCATAATGTAAGTATACGTTATGATAAAGTAATCTTATTTTGAATATTAGATTTCGTTCAAAGTAAAACTAAATTATAAAGAACCTCAACAATTTTTCGTAATGAAACTCATTTTTAGTGTAGCGTCATACACTGTAAGAGATACGAACGACAACTTTACATACTGACGGCAAGCGGTAAATCTAGTCTTCCCGACGCCCAACGGTACCGGATTTTTATCAATTTCTTTTATACCTGTGCACAGAATTTATTCTAACTTTTCATGAACATTTTTTTGGTTTAAATGAATTCATTAATGCATAAAAACTTTAGGAAACATGCGTATTTATTACTAAATCAACAGTATCACCTGCCAAAAGCGGTAAATCTAGCACTCTTATAAAATTTTCAATGCAAAAACCAAAAACGAACACCGATGTTTCCGTAAAATCGCGATTAAAAACAACAAAATGAAGCATATTTTTTTTAATAAAAGGAAAACCTCATTTACATACCAGATAATTTGCACGCGCAGAAACTTTCACATATACCCCTGTTTTTATGTTTGGTCATAAAATATTTAAACAAAATGCTTTCTTTTTTTTGTTGTCACTGGAATTAACGGAAGCAGCTGTTGCAGAAAAAATACATAACCCGCATAAGAATTTTTTCTGCAATAGCTGCGACCGTTAATTCCAGTAATAACAAAGAAAGAATTTTATTGTTTATATTTATATCTGTTTAAATAATCATTTAAAGTAGGATTAAAAAGAGTAATTATTGTATTGATGATGCGAACGTCTTTATACGTTTTATTGATGGAACAGCCACTGATCAAGAAAAGGCGACATGCCAAATGTAGTTCATGCAGTGATTAACGCAATGGGTTTTCTTAAGAAATAAAAAAGAAAATAATCAGTGTAGGCAAATATTTGTTTTTAACTTGGTATTGCTTTTTTCACAATATTAAAAAAAAGATTAAGTTCTGACGTATTCCACGTATAATATTCGTAAAATTGAAATACATTTATATTCACAGAGAAGTTTTATTTACTAGTAATAAACCTGTTAGCTCTTAAAATGATGCTGTGTTTAAATCTACATTTTATCAACATTGATATTATTCCTGCGAAACTGATATTTTCATAACACATGGGTAAAGGTGCCAAGAAAAATATATTGCAAAGAAGAAGGTATGGTTTCCATACAAATTTTGCTCTGTGATTTTCTGAAAAATGAAACTGGTGTAAAAGTTGAAAACTCATGCTGTTTAAATAATTGAAATTCAATGCAGAAAAATCATACAAGTCATTTTTCTCACGTGTTTTTAAATGCTAATTATGACGTGATAAATATGTGCATTTTCCCGTATTTTCTTAAAAAGTTGCAGAATACACCAATATTTAATGGAATTTTCTTTCAGTTAACATTGTCCACAGGCATCGCCCACAAAGATCTTCGGATATGTGATTTGTTATTGAATTTTGCACAAAATATCAAAAAATTAACGTGGGCGACGGCTGTGGACACTGTTTTCTAAAGGAAAATCACACTTGATATGTGCCATTTTGAGGCAAAATAGAGAAATGCTTCACATTCATGACGTCGTATTTGCAGAATGGTAAACCTTCATGCCATATTCTTTCCTGGTTTATAAGAGTTATATACTAAACTAATATTTAAGCCAGTTTCAAAACTTTTTGATGTCATTACATTTTGAGGGCGCAATAACGCTGAAACCATACCTTCTTCTTTGAAGACTGTGAGCAGTTAATTATATAAATGATCAACCACCTCTAATATGAATATAATGGCAGTCACTATGTCCATGTCTGGCAGTGGGAAACCCAAAATATGTGTAGGATGAAAACTAAAGTAATAGAAGGTGTACAACGGCAATATGTAATAAAGATTCTATGAAAATTTCGTTCAGTGGTGTAAGAGGAGTTGCGGATAAGAGATGGCTATACCTAAAGCGTAACAGACAGATGGACGGAAATCCCGATTAATAAATACCCTCCAACTTTTCAAGCAGGGGGTATTAAAAAAGGACTAACGTAGGCAGGCAAGCATTATGGCCCATGCATTTTTTCTGTTATTTAATGTCTCTGAATGTCTTTCTCAGGATTGTTGCAACTTAAAAAATCTAAAACAGTTGTCTGTATTTGAAATAATAATATTGTTCACTCACTTAACCTCCCGATCAAAGATTTTATTTTACACCATGTTCAACTCCCATGAGTGCTTTTAGTACTTTGATTTCAAAGTGCGTTGAGTATGTCCCAAATTTAACACACTTTGAAAAAAAAAATTTCAAAGTGCGTTGATTTTGTCTCAATTTTAACGAAATTTTCAAAGTGCGTAATTTTTTCAAAGTGCGTTGCCACAAGGCACTGACGGAAAAAGATAATATTTTTTAACAATTCAATAAGGCCTATTGTCTCTCTGAAAAGCCAGCGCTTTTGAAAATAGTACACGTATATATGCATTGCGTAGCGTTAATGCACAAATTGCTCTATCGTCATTATACTCTTATAAGATAAATATCTTATTTGTTTTTCAGTCTAATTCTTAATCAGAAATATTGTTTAATATTTCCAAACACTGAGATGTTAAAAATATGTGTTTTAGTGTCGTCTCTCCATGTGACTATTGTATGTATAGAAAGCCTTGATATGCTTTGACGCAGTTTGGTTTATTGTTTGCTTTTGTCTGTGAAGCTATTTATAGTAAGAAATATTCATGACACCTACCGCAAATAAGTTATCTATTCGATTCTAGTCCTATGTTAATCAATGAGTTCACATGAAATATACAAGGACGTGATATTTACTAGTATTTCTGTACGCATTATCCATAGAATGACATATGTACGTGTACTAAGTATAATAATCGAAAACGATGTCTCTTTAAATGCCCACTTCCATTTCCTATTGTCTGTAACTTAAATGTGATTTTGCGCCAATAACAACATTTCACAATGTTACATGAATGACATGCGACATCGCAATGAAATAAACTACTTCTTTTTCACCTTTCGAATGGAATTTATTAGTCATTCCACGCGTTAAAAGATATGTAAATTAGGTTTTTTTAATGCTACTTCTAAACGGACATTCTGGGAAAGATACTTTCAAGTTTGGGGCATTAGAAAATTAAATCAGACGGCAGTTTTTGTTTGGAGGATGATAATTCACCTCACATTTTAGGAGATAACTTCTTTACCCATGCAACAATTTTATTTCCTAATACCAGGAAAATCTTCAAAATGAGACCGTTAAAGAAAAGTTTCATGTTTTTTTTTGTATTACCAAGTATTTCAAGATAATTTTTGCTCCCGCTTGAAATTAAAGTGGTAGCGTAAATAATGTTTAGAATGTCCGTCCGTCTGTACATCGATTCCTCCACCCTTTTATCAGTCCGTCTGTGCTTCCGTTTTTCTGTTACACTTTGGAATACACATCTCTTATCTGCCACTCCTACATTGTATTTTATCACTAAATGAAATTTAACGAGACTTTCTAAGAATCTTTGTCACATAGTACCACTGTGCATCTCATCTCCTATTTTAATTTTTGATCCGATACACATTTTGGGTTTTCCATAGAAAAGCATGGACACTGTCATTCATAATATTTTTTGGTACCCATCACTTATATGCAACTATTCCTGTATAAAATCTAATGCCTATTTTATTTTTTTAAATCTGACACTTATTTCGGGTCTCCCAGAGCAAAACAGGGATTTTAAAATTATACTTTATATGATGCTACTCACAGTAGCTCAGGTTCTTCATTTAAACAATGAAATGCTTTCTTTGTTTGTTATTACTGGAATTAACGGAAGCAGCTGTTGCAGAAAAAATACATAACCCGCGTAAGCGGGTTATGTGAATTTTTTCTGCAATAGCTGCGACCGTTAATTCCAGTGATAACAAACAAAGAAAGACATTTTATTGTTTATAATTATATCTGTTTAGATAAGCATTTAAAGCAGGATGAAAAAGATCAATTAGTGTATTAATAATGCGAACGTCTGTATACGTTTCATTGATGGAACAGCCACTGATCAAGAAATCTGTACAGACGACATGCATAATGTAGTTCATGCAGTGAGTAATTCAATGGGTTTTCTTAAGAAATAGAGGAGAAAATATTCAGTGGATGTAAATATAATGAGATTAAATGCATATTTATCTCATTTTTATTCTCAATTTAATTCTGCAAAATATCACTAGGCTTTAGAGACTTTAAAAAAGGGAGAAAGAAACTAATAAACAATATATTGGAAATTGTAGACGTACTTTCTTCCACGGGGCCATAATTCCGCGGAATCTCTAACTCTTTTCAGTCCGCTGGTAGAAAATTACGCGGGTATCTTTAGACTCTCTTTCTATGTATTATATTTGCAATAAATTCGATTGTACAAATTTCTGTCGAAAATTTTTGAGTAAGTACACAGCGTAAATAAATACTAAGCGGAAAAAGTACTTCTACAGTACATTTATCTTTAAAATATTTATCAATGAAATAATAAATATACATAATTATGTTAAATATTCATGCTTTTGGACATTCGCAACATACTTTAGCTACGGAATTTTTTTCAAAATTTATTAATTCGAGATTATAATGCCATCAGGTGTTCGTAGACAAAAGAGAACATACTTTACCAGGAATCTTGAAATTGATAAAATACAAATATTCTTTTATAATTCAAGGAAAAAGTGTACAACAATCACCACTCATATTTTCTAGAAGTTTGGTCTATGCAGACTTTTTCAAAAGGATATACAAATGCACATAAGGTTCTTTTAAGCATTGGAAAACTTTAACCCGATAAAAAAAAAGACGACAAAGCTCTAACTATGTGATTTTCCTGTTATTGTTCTCTCCATTACAATGTCTAGGTTGACTTCGGGAGAATAATGCAAAATTGCATTATGTATTTGAATGAACTGTAGTCACATAAGCCGATTGAATGTAGAAAAAACCCAAACAAACCAGGGAGTGATCAGGAAGCTTGTTGTCTGGTGTTTTCTTGAATGTTGAAAAGAATTTCAGTGTGCAAGTCTAATCTTTCTGTGATCATGTTTAAGTACGTCAAGGTAAATGGAGGATCAAATTTTTTGAAGGCATTTTCATCAAGTCTCAAACTCTCCAAAACCGCTCTGATTGGCGTTGCATAGACTTCCCAGGATGCTTGGTCTACAGCATTAAGGAGTCCAATGCACTCTAATTCTGGATCGTTGTAATCACTTACAATGAATACGAGAGATCCAGAATCTCCAAGATCAGCAAATTTACCATGGTCAGATTTTATAACCATTTGACCGAAATAATGTCTCATAAAATAACGGTTACCGCTTTGATTGATTTTTATCGTTCTCATAGCATTAATACTGGTCAATCTCCCCTTTGTCCATAACGTTGTTTGTCCATATTTAACAATATTCAATGGTTTGTCCAGGTTTGAAACGTCTTTTATTTTCCCACTGAAAAACGGTTTACTTCCTTCTATAAATCCTACAACGTGAGAAAGGAACAGGTAGTTTAATGATTGTAATATATTCAGTAAATATAAATTGAAGTTTGAAAGAAAAAAAAAGACGACAAATACCATTGTATTTAATTTAAGACCAGTTCGCTAATGATTTTACAGGTGTTTTTCAATACTATTTTAAAATTAATCTTTAATTCCAACAAATCAGTTCATATCAGTATTTAAAATGCATATGAATGCTTGTTTTCAAGGAAATGAATTAGATCTGCGATGATTGTCAGAGTTCTTAAAACAACATATTAAATTTTCCCACATAGAATTGCATAATTATGTATACTTTAATTTTTATTGATTAGGAAACTTGGTGACATTTCTGAAAGACCTACAAATGAATAAGGAAAATATGAACAGAAGAGGCAATTCTAAGACATGGCTGGAATACGATTAGAAATAAATTGAAGACTATTATGAAGATTTAATGATCCCTAAACTAAAAATTGCTAAGTTATAACTTTTAATACCTGCATCTGTTGCATTATCTTGAGGAAGAAAGGGGTGTTTTGGCTTGTGATTATCAGAATCAACGTTGACAAGAACAGCATCTACCGTAAAATTTCTTTGCAAACGTATCTCTCCAAAATACCCTCTCTCCAGTTTTCCACATTCATTCCATTCGTTAGAAATTTTTCTTAAAATTTTGACATCTAACGTTTTTGCGTTTTTAAACAAGTGTTCATTAAGATGGATTTTTAATACCAAGACATGTGCTGCAGTTAAGTAATATATTTTGTTGCCAACAAAAACGAATCCTCCTAAGGTGCCCTTACCCATTTCAGCAGTGCTTGATTTGATACTGTCTCCTATTTGAGGATGGCGAATTGCAGAAATAGCTGCACAAGATTCACGTACATCCACAGGATAACCATTTATATTCGTAGGAAATGGTTTTTCGCCCATTGGAATTATACCTTTTGTGTGGCATGATATAACAATACAGGAAACTGGTTCGATATTGGGTGGTTTGCCAGGTTTGTAATTCCTTGATAATACGGATGATGTTGTAATCCCAGTTATGTTACTATGGGATCGAAGTAAGCTATTTATGACCCAATCGTGTATCACCAAATTTTTGTCGAGGTTAAACTTAGCCTCATCTTCCATAATTGCACGTGATTCACCATCAACTTCAGAGATTCCTTTTACAAGGACTTCAAGTCCGCAATATTTTAAAGGAAGCACTTCTTTTGCCGTACATTTAAAGCCTTCCATACGCACAATAATGACATACTCATTGCAAGTAACTCTCTGTTTTTGAAACCTGTATCCTGTCCAAACATATTCAGATCCGACGCTAAACTGGCAGCAAAAGTTTTCCTCAACTGCTCTAATTAAAATTTTTGCCATCAACGTATCAGACATATGAACACTTTTTACCAACCTTTCAAGCACTTGGTTGGAAAGACAATCAGGGTAAATATTTTCAGCTTTTTGACCCCATTCATACCTTGTCATATCAAATTCGCAAGCTATTGAAGTAAAAGTGGATCTTGAATGAGCTATATTTTCATCGGACAATTTTGAGATATCATCATATGACATTTTAGATACATTTTTTGCAGTCAAATTGAGGTCCTTTACCAACATCTGTATAAGGGATGAAAACTCATCCTTTCCACTCACTGCTAGTTGATTTGCCAAATGGGCCTTGATTGTGCTCGGAATTTGAGCAATATTTGCTTTCACAGCGTCGAAAGAAAATATATGTTCATCAAAGTTTTTCATCTCCAAAAGTCGCGCAAATTCCTCAAACAGGGAATGTGAAGGATGCATTTTTATTTCGTTAAAAAAACGTAAGAGCAATGTTCCATAAAAAGTATCTTTCGTTATGCAAACATCATCATGGTCCATAATGTAACTGAGGTATCTTAAAGGACATATTTCAAGAAATACCTCTGGATTTCGCTTTAAATGAACTTGACACAAAACCTTTCGGATATTTTCATCATTAACATAATAGCAGCTATCTTCTTTCTCTAAATAAATCCCAACAAAAGACTCTGCGATTTTTTGTGGAATCATGAAATCATTGCGAAAAAGATCAGAATGATGTATGCGAGAAGCTGCTGAACATTGAAAGCTCAAACCAGGATTCAACAGCACCGAAGACAAACACGAAAAACATTTCTCGTCCATGTCATTAATGTGCGTGAATATTTCCTTCATGTTCTTTTCTACCTTGTCTGTCAAATCGATTACGAAGCTTTTTTGAAGAAAGTCCTCTGCAGCACTTGAAATCTTAAGGAAGTTGAGAACTTCTTTTTCCATTGATATTATGATAGTATTATTTTCTGACCAGGTATTGAGCAACTTGAAAAAATTGTCGAGGCTAGATACTGTTTCTTTGAGAGTTGCCAAAGATGTAATTTGTTCAAACAGTCCGTCCACAAGTATTGTCATTTTGATGTCAGGGAGAACTTGAATAGATTCAAGTTCCCTAATGTTTCTCACTGCAAAGGGAGTCGCCTCATTCAAATTTTTCAATCGTTCAAATAATAATAAACTTGCTCGAGATTTATCCTTTCCGATTATGCCTGTCACAACGAAAGCAAATTTATTGCTTTGCTTAGTTAATTCTTCGTAATAGTTCATTATTTCGTCTTTATGATATGAAGATCGAGAGGCTTCCGCTTGCAGTTGGTTAAAGGCATAAACTATGATTAAATAAAAGACAATTGAAATGACACATATATAAAGACCTGCTCATTTTTAAACAAGAATTGTTAATACACATTAAAACTCTGTCAAAATAGCTAGGTATACAGCTCAACAAACTTTTTGAACTCACGTGGTTTTTCGCACAACTTAAGGTCACATTTCTCTTGCAATAAAACTTAAATTATCGAGCTTCAGTACGAGACATAACACTTATATTATAAAATATTTCATTTTAAGGTACATATTTTCTAAAATATCATATCATACGTTTTAAAACTCGGTGTTTTTAAAAGGGAATTTGTTTATAAATTGTATTATGTTATATGTGTATGATTCTACCATAGGTATTCACAAACTAATTTATCGACCTATTTTTGACACTATTTAGTTGAAATGTTCAAATTGACTTATTAAAGATGAGTATTTTTCTAAGTACTTTGCACATTTTCCATTCTTGTTTTGGTTTTTTTCGAAATGCAGCGCCGAAAAATGACAGATTGCATAAAGAAATACATGTAATGTCAGAGGAAAGGATAATAAAGAATTGTTTATCTTTCACAATATAAAATTGTTACTATTGAAAAGAATAAAATCTTTTACATTTATGGTCTGAAAACTTTGAATTTTTGTGTTGGAAGGTATTTTTCATGATGCTAGATTTTAGAAAGTCAACCTTTAAAAAGTTATCTTTTTAATATGAAAGCAGTCAAACAGATGATAAATACTTCTATCATCTTGCGCCTTAACGTCATATCAATGTACAGAAAATGCATTAAACGTTTCATGAACTGCACTGTTTCTCTAATTAGGCAATGCAAAGTTAGGTTTTAAACTGAACGGATAAAAAGACAGCAGCATTTAACGAGAAACGATGAAAAAATCATTTGGGAACTCTCATAATCTATCATACTAGAGCATATAAAATTTCTACCACTTATAATGTGTGCAAAATGTTTAAAGTTATAGAATAAGATAAAAAATAAGTTATAAATCACTTTTAAAATATATTTTATTGTCAAGTTACACAGTTTTACATTATAACAATGTGACCTTAAGGACAGATGATATAAACATTTTTTTTTTCTTTGAAAAAGATCTAATATCATGTCACAAGTTTAGAAAAGTGGATGGTTCTTAGAATTTTTTTTCTCTTAAGAACTTGAAAATGAAATAGACTCGGAAAATATTAGTAATATTTCAATAGAAAAACAAATATAGACAAATCACATTCAGTTAAGGTTTACAGGTGAAAATAAATTTCAGAATATGTTATCCTAGCGCCAAAAGTGTAATATAAACTTTTGAAAAATATACCAAGCCAGGTGAATTTTAAGGATTTCCATCCCTAATGGGACCTAATTCCCTACCCTTAAATGTGCGTCAAGTACATAATACACTGATATTATATTAAAGTATTTTATAGTGGAAAAGGATTGCCCGTGAGAAAGATTTGAAAATGTCATTAATTAAGCAGTAGCTAATTAACAAAGATTGCATTGAAGTCTATGGGGAAAAACGTTTTTTCAAAATAAAAATTCAAATAATTTGAATATCAATAAATCCTGCGGTGGAAAGATGCATTGAAACATTGAAAATAGAATGGCAATTGAAAACATTTTTTTTACCAGATAAATTTTTTTAAATTGATTTTTTTTATTGATAAAAAAAAGGGGAGATAACTCTCACCAAAGCTCAAGGTCATAAATTAGGACACATCCCACTATACATACTAATAGTAATAAATGGGAAATATGTCTAAACAACTGAGTATTCAATGCCTACATATCAGTTATGTATTCAATTTCACTGAATTTGTTCCCATTAGGGATTGAATACCTTAAGAGGAATATTAAAATGACAAAAACTTAGCAATATCATATAGGCTGGTTTTTACCATTTAGCTTTTCCTAATAAAATTCACCTGGCTTGGTATATTTCTCTTAAGTTTATATTACACTTTTAGCAGCATGGTAACATATTCTGAAATTTTGTTTTCACCCGTAAACCTTTACTGAATGCAATTTGTCTATATTTGGTTTTTCAATGAAATATTACTAATATTTTCCAAGATTTTTTTCATATTCCAGTTCTTAGGAGAAAAAAAAAAATACTAAGAACCATCCAATTTTCTAAACTTGTGACATGATATTAGATCTTTTTCAAAGAAAAAAATATGTTTGTATCATCTGTCCTTAATTTGTGCGAAAAACCATGTGAGTTTGAAAAGTTCGTTGAGCTGTATATCTAGTACTCTTCTGTTTTTCACCTGCCCATTGCAACAACGTATTCAACAACAAAAAAAATAAACTAAATAAACTACTGTTTATTTAAACAGATGCTTACATTAATCATTTATATGTAGGCATACCTAATTGAGGAATCAAGAAGTGAAATCCAGTTTCCTCCAACAAGCGTTTGCTTTTTAATACGTCATTTGAGTAGTTATCTACAGTTTGAAACTGCGACGATCTTGATTTCTCTGATTGGTCAATTGGAAAGTCCTTTTCTCGAATCCGAAAAGTAGTATCCTTCACAGGGCTTTTGATATCTGGTTTTCCAAAACAACAATAATAATTCTAACGTATATAAGCTTTGAAACACTATTTGTTTATCATACATGTGCAATAAATTTTGATGATGTTTTATCCGATGAATAAACAGTTTTGAGTGAAAAGAGAGATACATTCAATGCCAATGTCTTCATTCAACGAGAGTTCTTCGGAAAGTACTCGGACTACTGTAATAACTTTCGTATGCCCTTAATTTTTTAAAGTTTTAATCGATTCAACACCCACCGTAACACGATGCCTCGGGTTTAACAGAAAGAACCACAGTTTTCACATCAAGGCGCTTAGCTCTTAACAAAGGAATAGCTGCTACTATTTTTTATCAATAGGTCAGTCGTGACCGTGATTCAAACTTACTAACTTCTTATTGATAATATGGATAAAGAGTCTTTGATTTTTAAAAGGAGAATAAATGCAATAACGCTGATCTAAATAACTTGTTCCTTATTAGCAGATTTTTTTTAGAAAACACATCTGTATATTGCTGTATGAACGCTATATTGGAGGCCAAAATCTCTAAATAACGCCCCAAATGAATCGACTCAAAAAGATCTACAAACCATACCTTCAGCATAGATCCGATATTATTTTCGATTTTATCTTGAACATATGTTTAACTAGCATGTAAAATTTTGATAAAGCATTAACCTTTTTTCGAAAGAAAATGACTCGACGCAATTTTCAAAATGCTTTTCCTATTCGTTAATTTGGAGTAATCTTGCTTGTCTTCGAATAAAATTCCTATTAAGATGTTCGGTCGAAAAATTCAAGTGTTGGATTGTAGTCTTAATATTTTTCACGAGGAAGCTGTATATTTAAACTTGAAAGTAAACTTACTGAGGATGCTAACATATAATACTTTTGTCACTAAAATTGCTTTGCTTGTCATTAAACTCCCATATAAATTCTTACACAATAAGTTTGCTTTCTGATAGCACAATGGTTTAAGTGTTATTCTCTTGAGTCGCATATTACGGACGTGGCAGTTTCGGATCCTCTTTCATAGGTGAAAACCTGTCTTTCGGACGATAACTTACCAGTATACGTTCTTTTAGACCATGACGTGAAGATCGTACGTACAATTTATATGTTACTGCAACTAATTCTCGATCATATGTAATTATCATTAGGATGAAAATGAAACAAGAACTTATAAATCGTTTATATATTATACATGTAGTCATCAATATATTAAAATAAGCAAACGTATTCTTACCTGATGTGTGTTGAAGGTTTATGTTCATTTTCTTGGATTCAGCGTTTTCGAGTTTAACATTTGTAGCGTCTTGTTCATGGAATTTCATAACAGAATGATAAGGTACATTCTTTCTATTATCAACGCAATAACAATTTTCTTGCGTTGGCAAATCATCAGTCCATATATGCCCTGATTTTGATTTCCTTGGTGGTTTAAGTTTTGTGAGTAGATGTTCATCTTTTCTACCAGGATTAGGAATTGATAAAAAAGAACCCATAACAATTCAGTTTTGCCACACTGAATTACAGATGTATAAATCTGTACTTAGTATTTTTCCCAAGCTTCTTGAAATATAGTTCATTTGAAATAATCAGTGAAAAAAATACAAGGACAATTTATAAGTTGCATACAAAAATAGAATTAAAGTCTTATAACTCGTAAGATTGAAACGGTCGTACGTCCTGCAAAATGCGTTGATCTTTAGCTTTAACACGGAAAGGTATTTTCCTGACTCCAAGAGACTCTGAAAGAATACAGTATTTAATTTATATATTTACATTTTCAAGCTTAAAGGTTACTGGTAAGCAGATGATAATTCCTCCGAGTTACTCTTATCTTAATTATATCTTAAATTTTACTTCAAATTGGGATTTAACTGTTCTAGCAAAATCAGATACAATGTGATTTTCGACCCTTAAAATTTTACGAGCAAACTAACTTTTTCATACTGATTGTTAGTCCATTATTTATGCATTGTATTGACAACGGATTTTTCCGTTATTTCCCGATGATGAAAAGAAGCACACTTTGGGTGTGACCGGTCAGCGAGGGATATTCACTCTGATGTTTCAGAGGTCCGTGTTTGCTATGCTCCTACTTTGTATTGTTTTATCGGCTTTGATATTGAATACTGTTCGTTATCTCCATATCTTTCTTACACTTTTCAAAAGCAAGAGAAAAAGCCATTTTTGTAAAACAGTCATACATAGAGAATAATACATACCCTTTTCCATATCACACCCTTTATCAGCCCGAAACACCAATATCAGACAGAGGGCCGAAGGCCCGAGGGATGATGAAGGATGTGATTTGGAAAAGGGTATGTATTATAATGTTTATAACATTCTTTGTAATAAAAAACAGCACACATTAAGTTGAGAAAAAAAATTTAGTAAATAAACATGCATAGACCTCTAAAATACATATGCCTGGTCTTTTGTCTAATACGGTTTGGGTTTGTTTCTACTTCTATTTTGATGCACTTGATCCGCAATTTGAAAATAATCTATTGTTTGCTAATTAGATTATCATTATTTTCAAAAAGTTAAAATAGGAGAAAATGAACCCACCAAAAATTGTGTATAATTACAGGTACTGTTTTTGTGGTTTAATTTACTAAGGGTGTGATATTGATCCGTATCAGCCCTGCAGGACTGATAATCAATATCAGCCCTGAAGGGCTGGTACGGCTATTGTGACGTCAGGCATATCGCATATGCAAAAATCCTGTATTTATTACGAAGTATGTAATAAAAGGGTTTGTCCTTAAGTGATACCGTTTATCATGACAAATCATCAAATTGCAAGTTCTATGGCAAAATGAATCACATTTTCATTATACATGTATAATGTCAGCAGCTTAGTACTTTAGATAGTTTTCAATAGGCCAGAATGAAGCAAGAGTTATTTCCCGTTGGCCGCCATAATGAAGGCACAAATGCTGATATCCCTTCTTTGTTCAACCAATTTTTATATTTGCTATTTTGAATTAGGAATCCTTATTTTTCTGAAGTATTAAAATTTTGGAAGCCTCCTTTGTTTAAAAAAAATATTAATAAAGTTTTTCAACCAAATATTTCTGCTACATCCTCTTAAACTTGGTAAGACAAAGAGGGAAAATTACCAAGTCGACCACTAATATGGCCACCAACGGGAAGTAACTCTCGCTAAATTAAGGCCTATCGGAAATTATCTATTATGCTTTTTCCCTTGGTGCACCAAATCAATTTCTCTCTCTTATACGTTTTAATGACTTCTAGAGTTTTGGTTTATTAAACTTACCTAAAGATGACGTCTTTGGCTCTTTTGTTACATTGCCCTTTTATCAAATTTAATAGTTTTTTCCCCTTCTGTAAACACGGCACTGAAAAAAAAAAACTGTGAAAGTGACTAAGAAAACTATTAATTTATGTCCATACAATCACTACCTTTTCCTAGGTATTGCGTAGATATAGAAGATAACATTTGTAAATCTAGAATTTATAAGTAAATTTCACTAGGTTAGTTGGGATTTATACGACCCTTGTTTCACGTGACACCTACTAGTCACTATTAAAGCTAATAAACAGTACAAGTTACAGTTTTTTAAAAGCTTGCCTGACTAATTAAATTTATCTGCTTGAAGAGTGATAAATCTTTTGAGAAATACTTTTGTGGGTCTAAAACATGTGCTAACTTTATATTTTGAGAACCTTGTGTAATTCAGATCTTAATTTCTTTTAACTAGTAGAACAATCATTTCTACACTGCATCCTAAAGAGATGTTATTCGGGGGAGTGGGTGGAAGGAAGGTTGTTTGGGTCTGCAAGTGGAGTGATCTGCCCTTGGATCTAAATTGATTTCAAGCTAAATTGTAACACTTATCATGCATTGTAAACATATTAGATACTAATTTTTGGAGTTTATTTTCTCATTTAAAGTACATAGTAGTAATGTGTATTCATTTTTTTTTCTTAAAAGGGGGTGGGGTAGTTACACTATCATATATATGGAGAATAAAATAAGTGAATTTACATTTAATATCTAAGCCTTTGTGGAAAGAAAATCCCAGATTTTTCACTGCTTTCTTATTTATTGTGTGCATCTAAACATAGACATATCATAGATCATGCATCTTGTTTTGTTTATCATTATTTAACTACTACATTTATGGAATAAACCAACCGCGGGATAGGGAAACAAGTTAGAATAATCAATTTGTTAGTGTTGTATATCCATAAACATGTACTGATATATACAATATGTTGCTTAAAGAATTTCTGAAGCATAAGAAAGAATTCATTAGGACAACCGTTGTCAATAGAACAATCAAAGCAAACGGCACTAAGATAGCTTAATTACTAGTGACATCTGGTGTAAAAAGAGAGATTCATCCCTTTTGTAGAATATACGAGGGCCGTTCAAAAATTACGCGGACTTGTTGCACAGAAAAAATATTTGACGACATAATTGGTCAAAATGTTACACATAATATAAAAGAATCTTTACTTATATGGTCTTCAAAATTTCATGTCAAAATCTTGTAAATTAGTATCAATTTCGAGTGATTGTTCAGGACATATCATTAAGTCACGGAGCAGCAAAATCTTCGACGTCCAGGCACTATAAAAAAATATGTTTTTGATTTTTTATTTTCTCAACATTTTCCAAAGAGTACCTGTACAGTCTGGGTTACCTTATCTACTCAACATCCAATCAACATTTCTTGTCAAGCTTAAAATTTATTCAACAAGTAAAGAATATTCTTTTTTTGTTTAAAAACCAAAAACGTCAGGTATTTATAAGATATAGTGTGATATTAGTGACTCTCAATGACGTTCTTTACAGTCCGGATAAATTTTTCGTCGATAATCTTCTTACCGTCCTCCGTATTGCCTTTTTACAGAGGAATAAAGGTCTAAAATTTCAATTTGCTATTTGTGGACGAATGTCCCGAATATCCTAGTTTACTACATGTTTTATTATGCATTACACATAATTTAACAAAATGTGGTGCGCCGTCAGTTCAGGAGACGTCATTTTTACAGTCGTTTTCACGGTAATCGCATTAGAGAAAAATCACTATATTTCTGTTAGTACTTCAAATATCACTTCAGAAATCTAAATACATAATAATAGAACAATTTAAAGCTACATTTAAGAAAATTGTCTAAAAATATATCGAATTATAGAAAATAGATGAGTTAAATTTTGGATTCCGCATGCTTTTGCTTTAAATTTTTTGTCGTGCTCCGTACCTCTCCATCAGTGATATCAACATACCGACAATTTAAGGTAGGACAAAACATCCATGGATTCTATTTTAACCAATTTCTTAAAACGTACCGGAGAAAAGGAGAATTATATTACTATTTTGACAACAATGAATGATCCTTGTAAGAAAAATAATAAGTTTTGGCATGTTTGTGTAATATTTTGTGAAAAAATCGGAGAATCATATATATTGGTCAGTTGGGGGTTTACATTTTGGTCTGTGCTTATGCTATCTAAGTGCAATAAACAAGGATGTATTAGTCTATTACAAAATGCAGTGTAACTTTTGTTCCATAAATAGTAGAGGGCTGATATTTGGACACGTATATACGGAGTATCCATTCTTTATGTACTTTAAAGGCCAAGGTCATATCAAGAGGTCAAAGGTCAAATATTGTGACGTCATCTACTGAATCTTTTAGTTTTTTTGCCATTGAATTTTTTTTAATCGCCCAAATATCTGAAACCACCGGTTCAATTTTCTTTATTTTTACACATTTTATTCTAGGACCCATTTGAATTATTCTGTTGATTTTTTGTAAAAATTGAATTATACATTTTCTCTTAAGAACACTAAAACTGTCGGATATTTACATGTGAATTTTCAATTCCAATGCTATGTATGTTCTATTTTTACTTAATATCTTACTCAAATTTTCAAGTATCAATTTGACTTCCTGACTTAAAGTAACAAAAAGGTTATCTTTTTTAAAAGTATTACACAGATTTGCAATAGATCAATTAATAATTCTAAAATACGGCTCATTCTCAAGTCGAATGTCTGATTTCACAATCTTCTTACAGGGATCTGATAGGCTATATTTCAGACTATGTGGGCAAAAACGTCTGGTTGAATTTCTTTCATATCATATATGAAGAGGATTTTGTATCTTAGAACAAAATACCAAAGTTTCAGAAAAATTGAATTTAAGGAAAATTTTGGCCTATCTATTGTGTCCTACCTTAAACAGAATTTTTTTTTATACAGATATTTTGCCCAAAATTTATTGGAATCTTTAAGATACATATTTCTGTGAAATTTCATAACTATATGACGTCTATAAGAGTAAATAATAGCACAGTCTGCGTAATTTTTGAACGGCCCTCGTATATGGAAACTGCAAACTGTTACTTTTAAAATACAGGTACATAATTCCAATGTAAATCAGCTTGCACAATATCTAGCTCTCTAGATATGATTGCACAGTTTCGGATCTTGGAAATATCAATCCTTATACAGCCTAACATCAGGCAATGATAACTTATCTTTAAAGGCTTAACTAGAAGACCTGCTAAAAAATAGTTATTTCGTTTCAGTGAAGAAAACACTTAAAGTAGAAGGAGGCTTTTTATAGAATATCAAAATGTATTATTTGCTTGCTGAACTTGAATAGTAATGATTGGGAGAGTTTTACAAACTTCACACATTGTTTCATATTGTATGTAAAATGTCAGAGCTCTACTGCAACATTCACACCTCTTTATTAAATACTTATATTCACAATTAAAAAAAGTAAAAGAGAATTCCCTTTGAATGAAGATAAGCGCTTTGCAGAATGTAAACGATCATAAATAAACGATCCTCAATTACAATGTACTCTGATATGTATTCTCGATGAGAGGAAGTATATTTTTTTGTGGAAATCCGAAAGAGATGTTTGTTTTCAAACAAAATCTAGTGATGCAATTATGTGCGGCTGTGGTTTAGTGTATTACGATATTAAATCAAAAACATGCTAAAATATACTGGTAAGTTGAATTTCCTTCTTATTCATTTTTGTTATACCATCCTTGTTGTCCGCGTTGCAAAGTGCATCTGCTCTAGAGTCGCGAAGTAAGGAGTTGATCCTTACGTCGCGGGTTCAAATTCCCACGCTGTGAAGCGTGGGAACCGGTCATTAAGATGAGACCGTATAACCTGAGATACTGCCCTGCTCAATGGTACTAAGTGCCGAGCATAGGATAAAATCTATACCTCTCCACCGGAAAGATGTGGCGTCTCTATATAATTGAAAATTTTCGAGAGGGACCTTAAAACAATATACAATATACTAGTACTATCTTCTCATCCACACCTACCCCCCAAAAAATAAGTTCATAGGGATTCGTCGAGATTATTTATACATATTTACATTATATGTAGATATAACGAAGGCCTTAGGATAGTGTTGGTCGGTTGCATCGATGCAATTATTTTGAAACTCTTCAAATAAAATTATAAACGACCGAAGCCTGCTCAACAAAGTCAAATGACATAATATGAATATATAAGCATGTGGTCAAGATGACCCTCTACATGTTTAGGTCAGACGACACGTTCCTCAAATATATGTCATGTTTCTCTTGGTATTATATAAAAAAAATATATTTATAATTTTTGCCGATTTCTACATTGTTCTTGATATGTATTTAGAAATAAGTACACCAAAAATCGTGATATAGGCCATTTAAAAGATTACTCATACTGGTTATATTAGAAACATGACCCTGTGGTATCTTGTCCAAATGCCTGGTAATCGAGGTACCTTATTTTTTGTGAGGAAATCTGTTTCAGGAACTTTACTTCAATTACAAATTCTTAGGAAAAATCATATATTTTTGAGGAATGTGTCGTCGTAGATAACTTAAACAAGAGGCCCATGGGCCACATCACTCACCTGAGAAGCTATGACCATTCTGTTCTTTATAAGATTTCCCCCTTGTTATACATATTTGACCCCACCCAACCCCACTCATCATAATTTAGACAAGTTGAAATCTATACTACCCCAAGATGCTTTCACATAAGTTTCAGCTTTTCAAAGATTGTCCAATATATTTCTATGTAAAACTTTGATTCCCCATTGTGGCCCTGACCTAACCCCCCCCCCCCCCCCCGGGTCATGATTTGAACAATTTGGAATCTAAACTACCCTAGGATGCTTCCACACAAGCTTCAGCTTTTCTGGCCCAGTAGTTATTAAGAAGAAGATTTTTAAAGATTTTTCCTATATATTTCTATGTAAAACTTGGATTCCCCATTGTGGCCCTGCCCAACCCCCGGGGGTCATGATTTGTAACAATTTAGAATCTACACTACCCCCAGGATGCTTCCACATAAGTTTCAGCTTTTCTGGCCCAATGGTTCTTGAGAAAAAGATTTTTAAAGTTTTTTCCTATATATTTCTATATAAAACTTGGATTCCCCATTGTGGTCCCGCCCTATCCACGGGGGTCATGATTTGTAAAATTTAGAATCTTCCCTACCCCAGGATGCTTTCACATAAGTTTCAGCTTTTCTGGCCCAGTGGTTCTTGAGAAGAAGATTTTTAAAGTTTTTTCCTATATATTTCTATGTAAATCTTTGATTTCCCATTGTGGCTCCGCCCAACCCCCGGGGGTCATGATTTGTACAATTTAGAAACTACCCCACCACAGGATGCTTCCATATAAGTTTCAGCTTTTCTGGCACAGTCGTTCTCCAGAAAAAGATTTTTAAAGATTTTTCCTATATATTTCTATGTAAAACTTGGATTCCCCATTGTGGCCCTGCCCTACCCCTGGGGGTCATGATTTGAACAATTTAGAATTTACACTACCCAAGGATGCTTCCACATAAGTTTCAGCTTTTCTGGCACAGTGGTTCTTGAGAAGAAGATTTTTAAAGATTTTTTCCTATATATTTCTATGTAAAACTTGGATTCCCTATTGTGGCCCCGCCCTACACCCGGGGGTCAGGATTTTAACAATTTAATATCTACACTACCCAAGGATGCTTCCACATAAGTTTCAGCTTTCCTGGCCCAGTGGTTCTTGAGAAGATTTTTTAATGACCCCACCCTATTTTTTTCTTTTCTTGATTATCTCCCCTTGTAAGGGGACTTGGCCCTTCATTTTAACAATTTGCAACAACTCCCCTTCACCTAAGGATGCTTTGTACCAAGTTTGGTTAAAATTGGCCCATTGGTTCTTGAGAAGAAGTCGAAAATGTGAAAAGTTTACGGACGGATGGACGGACGGACGACGGACACAATGTGATCAGAAAAGCTCACTTGAGCCTTCGGCTCAGGTGAGCTAAAAAATCAATTAAAAAATCCAAACTGACCGGAGTGCATCATAATTTTTTCAGGCATTGAATATCAATTCTCTATAAGAACAAAAATAAAAAAGATACTTAGACACATATTAACTTAGAATTGCGTTTTATAATTATAACGTGTGTTCGAAGAGTGTTCTATATAAAAGCTATTGATGGGTAAAAAAATTGACACACCTCCTTTGTTTTCATAGTATCGTCTTTTAAATATTTTGCAACAGCAGAAATGACCTTATCTTTAACACGGTGTGAACAATTCCATGCTTGTTAATATTGGTAGTTTATGAATAGAAAATAAGGTTAAATTTATAGCTAAGCAATAAAAATTAAAACGTTTGTGATCATGTAATTTTTTTCAGTTCAATTCATGAGTTTAATATTATTCAGATTATAATTTTCAGATTCAAATTTCATGATATCGAACTCATACAAATAGTTCCCTTAATTCAAAACAATGTCTCAGATTTGAATATTTCAAAACCCGAAATGGTTTTAAATACCATACCTGTACCGGGTTCTTCAACTCCATAACAAAAATCTTAACAAACAAAGATACATTGCTGGTTCCACTAATTGGTCAATGAAGACTCATGAAATAAATAGGTCCCAAATACTATAATGACCTTTTAATGACTTTTTAAAATATTTCGGATAAAGATATACCTTTTGTTTATAACGCAAAAAAAAAAAAAAACAATTGCGTGAAGTGTCTGCAACAAAACAACCAATTAACAACCCAAACATTTAAATGCTTCTCTCGTGATCAAGTACGTCATGTGATATCAAATTAAATATCTGAATACGAGTTTATAAATTTAGAAAACCAGTACATAACTTACAAACTAAAGTGAAAATCGACCTCGCAATGAAATCATATTGTTTTGAACGCAATTTTAACTTTGAAAATCCTTAACATACTTTCATTCTGGTTGAATTAAAAACGAAATGAAGAAAATAAAAATACTTACAAGGAAGGAAATATAGGCTAACGAAAATAAATCTACTCTAAATTGTTCGATTTCTTGCGATGATTTTATAAAATGTAGCTCTGCTCTTACAACTTGTAAATTGCAGTTAACATCACGTGATGTTTGAACACATGATAAATTAGTTGATAGATTGATTATGTAGTGTTCTACGCCCATGCAAGAATTTTTCACTTTTAGGTCACCTGAGGAACTCGGTGACCTATTGCTATCCGTGCGTCGTGTGTCGTGTGTTAAAAATTGAACATTTTCAGCCTCTTCTCTTAAACCACTGAACTAATTTCAACCAAATTTGGTATAGAGCATTTATGGGTGAAGGGGAACAAAAATTGTTAATTTCATGGTCGTCGCCCCCCTGGGGCCTGAGGGGTGGGGCCAAAACCACTAAAATTATTGCAATCTTTAAAAATCTTCTTCTTTACTCCTGCACAACAAGCAGGCAAACTGTTGGCATGAATGTAATGAGCATTGAGTTCTCTACCAAAATTGTGAAATTCATAGCCCCAGGATCAGGGCTTCTAGTGCTAGGGCGGTGCTATATAGATTATATAGTGAAAATGCATTATTTCCTTGAAAATCTTCTTCTCTGCTTCTGGGTATAAAAAAAAGCTAACTAAGCACATAGGTATGATGAGCAAGAGTGCCGTTTCCAAAATTGTGAAATTTATGGCTCCAGAGTCAGGGGTTCTGGTGTTAGGGGTGGGGCTCTATTGATTATATAGTGAAAATGCATTAATTCTTTGAGAATCTACTTCTCTGCTTCTGGAATTAAATAAGCTAATTACAGTAAGAACATAGTAAAGATGAGCAAGAGTGCCTCTTCCAGGTTTGTGAATTTTATGGCCCCAGGGTCAGGGGTTCTGGTGTTAGGGCGGGGCTCTATAGATTATATAGTGAAAATGTATTTAATCTTTGAAAAACTTCCCCTCTGCTTCTAGCAATTAAATAAACTAACTAAGCACGTAGTTATGATGAACAAGAGTGCCTTTTCCATTACTGTGAATTTTATGGCCCCATGGATAGGGGTTCTGGTGTTAGGGCGGGGCTCTATTGATTATATGGTGAAAATGCATTTATTCTTTGAAAATCTTCTCAGCTTCTGAGTATTAAATAAACTAACTAAGCACATAGTAATGATAAGCAAGAGTGCCTTTTCCTAATTTGCGAATTTTATGGCCCCAGGGTCAGGGGTTGTGGTGTTAGGGCGGGGCTCTATTGATTATATAGTGAAAATGCATAAATTTTTTGAAAATCTTATTCTCTGCTTCTGGGTATCAAATAAACTAATTTAGCACATTGTTATGATGAGCAAGAGTGCCTCTTTCCAAAATGTGAATCTTATGGCCCCAGGGTCAGGGGTTCTGGTGTTAGGGTGGGGCTCTATTGATTATATAGTGAAAATGCATTATTCTTTGAAAATTTTCTTCTCTGCTCCTGGGTATTAAATAAACTAACTAAGTGCATAGTTATGATGAGCAAGAGTGCCTCGTCCAGAATTGTGAATTTTATGGCCCAGGGTCAGCGGTTCTGGTGTTAGGGTGGGGTTCTATTGATTAATAATAAAAATACAATAATTCTTTGAAAATATTTTCTTTTGCTTCTGGGTTTTATGCCAATTATCCAAGTATATATATTTAAAATGAAAACAGGTGAATCCAGAAAAGAGTTTTTTATGCCCCCTGGATCAGAGGGGGGTGGGGGGTGGGGGGGGTGGGGCTACTGAAAAATAAATTAATGCTTTGAAATCTGCTCTTTGGTATAAATCAACCATTTAATGATAAAATTTGCAAAATTTTGAAATTTGTGGCCCCTGGGTCAGTGGTTCCTTCGGCGTGAGATGTACAACTGGGTATAAAGTGGAAGTGCATTTTCACTTTGCTACTCTGATATACCTCTGGGTTCTAAGTAAAAAGAGTAAGCATGCTAAGTTAATAATTATGATAAACAATGGTGCCTCTTTCAAAATTGTGAATTGTGAATTTCATGGCCTCTGGTTTTAAACACGAACCAAATTTAATTGTTTGAAAGTTGTTACAGAATACTAAGGTGAACTATAAGGCCCATGGGCCTCTTGTATAAAGATGTCACCATATACTTAGCATCAAATGACATTTACTCGGCATTTAGATTCATCAAGCAGTGAGGGATCTATAGCTTGCCAATACCTGCCGTGACACGAGTTCTCAGTTTTTTAATGTCTCATTGACAGGACCCACAACTTTCACTTCAAATAGTCAAATGCATGGAAAGTAAAATCTGTTATCCCCCCCTTTTTTTTATCGATTTTTGTTACTTGCAGCCGGTATTCAAACTCATGACCTCCCGACCACGGATAACAATGTGGTTTATAATGTATAGAATTATATTTTTAAAGAGCAGCATTTAACAATTTAATCAATTTTAATTTTAATAACCCATAAAACTTTCCCCGTCTTAAAGGTACTTGGACACAGCTTTGAAGTTAATATTTTCTTCATAATATTACGACATATATATTTTAATAGCATTTCACACAAAAAATAATTAAAAATCTTATTCATTGAAAAGTTATTAAAACTTTAAATTTTTGGCTGGTTTCATTGACACATCTTTGCACTTTCACAAATCTTAACTTTATTCTTAGTCCTTTGGAAAAGTGGCATTCCTGATGTGTATTAATGAAAAATATAAATACTATATTCCAGAAAATTCAGTGTAGACATGTTCGAAAGCAAAACAAACACACAATATATTGTCAGTCCGTGCAGTTGTGGTGAAGAGACTTTGGCAATGTTACGCACCCGATGAATCGTAAACATTAAATAATAACATGTTTACAAAAATCGGTGTACATAACACGAGTGTGATCGATTCGCAAAACTCTGTACACGACGGAATTACGATACTTGTGAAGTAGTTCTGCTTTCTAATATTTCAACCCTGAAAAAAAAATATTATTCTTGATTTAAGTTCTAATATTTCTCATTAATACACTTCAGGATTCCCACTTTTCCTAATACTACTGGCTTTTAAAACCCCTGTCCGTATGAAAATCCCCTGTCTTTCTCTGTATCCTACAGCATTTTCACAGTAATCTACGGCATATCTACAGTATGCTACGGTATGCTAGCTCTGTATATACAGTAAATCTCTGTATGCCACTGTATGTATCCCCAGCATGCCACAGTTACATACAGTAGGCCCCGATACGCCTACAGTATGCCACTGTATGGCTACTGTTTCCTACAGACAACTACGGTAAACCCCAGTATATGCCCCAGTACGCCCCTGTATATGTTCATTGAAGCAAAAAGAAGAAGTTTACACACTCCCAGAGCACTGTACGGTTACCTAAGATGTGGGATTATCAATTTAGTACACAGTTTCTTACCTTAAGAAATTTTTGAGCACTATTTTAAACACATAGAAGTATTTTTTTAAAACAATTTTAAGAAACTTATTGTGTTCTTTTATAACTCTGAAAAATTAATAAATCATTGCTTCAAGGAATATTTATCTATCGATTTTTCAAATTAATTATTGAATTATTCTTTGAATTTATTTATTGGTTAATTTATTTATTTATTTATTTTGCGAACGCTTATTTAATCCATAAAATACTCGGAGTGACTTTGTAACTTTTATTTAAAAAAAAAACAAAAACAGCAGGGGTAATTCTTGTTTTTTAAAACTTATTGATGTTCTTTAAAAAAATAATCTAATTAATTGTAATCAATCATTGCTTAAAAAAAACTTTTTTCTTATTTCTTAATGAGTTTCATTACATTTTAAAGTGCAACTCGCTACAAACAGAAAGAAAACTTTGCTTAACAGAAAAACACATAAAATTCCAGAATATAATTAGTTTTAAAAAGATTATGAACAACAATAAACACTGCTTTCTAAGAAAATTGTGCTCCTTTGTAAAGAAAATAAATAAAATATGCTCCCCGGCCTAAATTCCCATACTTCACATTTATAGTAACCTACAATTTTTTTGTTTTTGTTTAGTTTCTTACTCACGCATGCCTTTCTAGACCTATTGTTGTATATAAAATCACCTATATGTTTTTTGTAGTCTCTGTACGCTATTGTAAAATGGTGATGAGATTCAAATAAATAAATGATGATTGATTGGCAGCAAGGTCATCACAAGCATGTTTTAAATTGCAATTTGATTGTAAAAATATACCAAGATACTTGTACTTATCAGTAATATTTATATTATCATTGTTGTAATAAAATGCATAATATTTCAAAAAAAAAAAAAAAAAATTGAATATACAAACAAAATTATTAATCGCATATCTGAAAGTTGGATTTATTTGGCTAATTTTATGTAAACAATTTTATGCTAAAATGTGTTTCAAAGTCTTTCTGAAGCATATTTAAACTACTTTTAATCATTTTACTTCCGTGTTGGTAATCAAAATAATCGTCTCATTATGCACAATCTTAACCCGTCAGTAGCTTTTTAGAAACTTCTATTTTGTTATGTATGACAAAAATCGGTTCTCATACAAAGAAGAACTGTTATTTCAAGCAGCTGCAGAGTGGACACGGTCGCTCTCTGTCACAAAATAAACAAGGTATAGTGATCAGTGAAAAAAACAATAGGTGTCATTACTGTGTACCCCGTGTCAGTAGTACACAATCAAAGGCTTTGAAGTTCTTTCATAATCGTGTAAGGATTTTGAAAACCGATTTTTTTTCACTCAAATCAAAGTAAAAATATGAAATTGCAATTGACAAATAA